TAAGTATGCTGGGAAAAAGGATGTATAAAAGCCTGTGTAACTTCCTGCTCTGTGTACAGGATTTGAGATTCAAATCTCCCTGTACCTATTTGAAGCTTCAAATAAACTTTTCTGCTTCTCCATCACGTTGTGATTATTGGGTGTAGCACACCGGGTAACGAACCACTCAAGCTGTTGTTCAGCCTCTCGGCACTGGGTGCCGGCAACAACCTGGCCCAGTCTGGCTGTTCTTATGTGGACTTTGTTCATTATTTGTACATGCACAGGGTTGTACCCGAGATACCTGTCTCCATCACCAATTTCTCCTCCTAACAGAAACAACCTGCAGGGCCTTGAACATTTGCTATCCACTCGGGCCTAGAGTGGGCACAAACACCAAATATCATAAGAGTTGGCAACAGTGTTGTGGGCAACCAGCACCTTTGAAAACCAGGGCTTATGGGTCTCACAATGGGCATGCAAACTCTGTGACCGCTGTCACACTTCCTGGAAAAACAACGGGAGTCCTTGTGGCACCTTAGAGATGAACACATTTATGTGGGCATAAGCTTTCGTGGGCTATAATGGTTATAGCCCTTTTATGAAAGCTTCTGTCCAAATAAATGTGTTCATCTCTAAGGTGCCACAAGGACTCCCGTTGTTTTTGTTGATACAGACTAACACGTGTGTCACAGAGTCCCTGGGCGATGCTCTGGAACTGCTCCCTATGAAGCCAGGCAGGACTCTGGGGAAGTCTCCTTTCTGGGAGCAGCCTGTCTGCAGGACACACAGCTCACACAGCTTCCACCTTCCTGGGTCTGACCTCAGAGCATTCAGCATCCTCTGCCCCTCCGTTCGCTTCCCCCAGCGAGTCCGCCCAGGCAGGGTCCTGAGGAAGCCAGAGGGTCCTGCCCCCCAACTCCGCAGTCAGATGTAACTCTCAGCCAGCCAGTAACACAGAAGGTTCATTAGACGACAGGAACACGGTCTAGAACAGAGCTTGTAGGTGCAGAGAACAGGACCCCTCAGCTGGGTCCATTTTGGGGGGCAGTGAGCCAGACAACCCCGTCTGCCCTTCACTCCATGTCCCCAGCCAGCCCCAAACTGAAACTCTCTCCAGCCCCTCCTCCTCTGGGCTTTGTCCCTTTCCCGGGCCAAGAGGTCACCTGATTCCTTTGTTCTCCAACCCTTTAGCTCTCACCTTGCAGGGGGGAAGGGCCAGGCCATCAGCTGCCAGGAGACAGGGTGTCGGCCATTTATGTTCACTGGCCCTTTGCTCTGCAACAATTACACCCCCTTAACCCATCACCTAGATACTTAAGAAATGCCTAGGGGAAATTGAGGCACCCCTACAGTATTCAGAGGAAACATTAAGAACAGTGCCACTTCATCACACATGGCTACCACTCTGAAACCTTTCAGAGTAACAGCCGTGTTAGTCTGTATTCGCAAAAAGAAAAGGAGTACTTGTGGCACCTTAGAGACTAACCACTTTATTTGAGCGTGAGCTTTCATGAGCTACAGCTCACTTCATCGGATGCATACCGTGAAACCTGACGCTTCCTGGAGCAGCTTGTGCCCATGAGCACCTACCTCAGGGCAGACGGCCAAGAACAGGGCAGAGACCCCAGCCTGGTGGTGAGTTCTATAATTAGATTTCACCATGCCAGTTTCAGATGGGAACTCCTGGGTCAATTACACACCAATAAGTTACCATCTAAATCCTAAAAGTAACAGAGTTGCAGGGATCTGTCAATTCAAAGTGTCTTTCAGGGCAGACCCAGGAGGCAGCCTCTGGGGCTCTCTGGCTTCAGTTTAGAGTCTCGGACCCTTCAGAGTTCAAAGAAAAAGATGGAAATTTTTCCTGTGGCTTTGTTTTGTTACCTTCCTTCAGCTTCCAAGCCCACAGACCCAGCTTCCTTGCAAGTAGCATTTTCCAGCCCCAACAGGACCATCAACCAATCCTTTGTACTGCAAGTTCCTTAATGGCCCACCTGATTCTGATAGTCCTTCTGGATGGGATGCGAAGATGATTCCCATGCCTGGGTTCACAAGTTCAGGGCAAACATTTTCAAAAAGTACATATTTTCTTGTACCCTGGAATCCAGGCACTGCAAATAAGATTAATGCCAGCAGCAATTTACAAGCATTTCCTAGAGTCTAAACAGTATATACATTTCTATAAGTCTAATACCTGTTTTGAGCAAAACTAACACACAGGTGACCTGCTCTGGTCTCCAGCTACGAGTTTGTCAGTTCTTAGCTTATGCCTTCAGCCAGGGCAAGAACTGGCATCTGGCCTGCCAGCATCGCAGCCGCCTTTGAAAATGTAAAGAAATCCGGCCCATTTCTTCAGCCAGGTCAGAGGCCGGCTGCTTGCTGGGGGCTCCCCCAGGGAAAGTTGGGAGATTTAGAATGAAATCTATGGCATCACCCAATAGCAAATTATGCAAAAAATAAAAGCACCCATATTTTACCTACTACAGATATTTCATGCACAGACATCTCAGAAATAGCCAGTGCCCCTGGGCTGTGGATAAACAAGGAGACCGCAGAGATTGCAGGCTACCAGGGTTGCCAGATACCACAGGAGAAGCACCTGCATAGATCAGAATCCAAGCCTGGCACACTGAAGTGAGACTAGTACATTCACTTTAGAGTGCTGTAAATATTCCAGGTCTGATCCTGCGCCCGCATGCGCCCGGGCCGCCCCCTGTGCGTGATGCTGTAGCCATCAGGGCTCACTTTCTAGAGCTAGTTTTGCCTGGAATCAACAGCTCAGTGGGTGTTGGTGCCTCTTCACGAGAGCCCCCCACTGGCAGCAGGCCTCTTATTAGCAATACCCCAACCCACAGCAGCTTTCCCTAGCCTTGCTCGGGCCGGGCCGGAGGGCCAGGTTTGAACCCCACTCTGGGAAAGAGCCTCTTCGGCTCTAGACACCACGACACCGACCTGCAAAAGTGGGGGAAAAACCCTCCCAGGCTCCTGCAAAGGTACACTGTGTTTGCCGTTAGCCCTTGGGAGGGTGGGGCCGGAACGAGGTGCTGGGTGTGTGGCGCCCCCGGAGCTGAGCTCAGGACGCTGCCTGACATGTCGCCTGTCACTGCAGCCTTGGGCTTGTCCACACTGGCTCTTACAGCGCTGCAAGGGTCTCGCTCGGCGGGCTGAGAAAACAGCCCCCGAGCGCTGCAAGTCTCGGGGCTGTACAGCGCCTGCGTAGACAGTGCCCCAGCGCTGGGAGCCGCGCCCCTCACGGGGGTGGGTTTTTAGAGCGCTGGGCGAGCTCACTCCCAGCGCTCCGCCGCGACTACACGAGCCACGTTACAGCGCTGCCGTGTTGCCGGGGAAGACGTGCCCGTTGTAACCAGACACCGGAGCTGGACGCACTTAGCTGGCCCCTGCCCCGGCAGCCTTGGGAGAGGGGCCTCCTGTTTCTAAGCACCAGGAGCTGGGAAGCCGGCAGGTCACACTCCTTCCCAGGGACAGCGCTCGTTGCCCCGGCAGCTTCCCTCTCTGGGGCCGACTCCCTCTTGCATCCTCGCCGCTGGAGCAACCAGGGCCCAGCCCATGCTCTGAGCAGCCCCGCTGAGGCCTGGAAAACTTGTACCAGCATCAGGCAATTTATCCTTTTCCTGCCTCTCTGGTCACGTCTCCCAGCAATGCTGGGAAAGGCACAGTCCTGGCCAGCCGAGCCAGACTCTGGCTGAGCAGGAGAGGAGAGGGAGGGAGGCAAGGGGAGGAGGACTCCCAGGGTGGGCGGAGGGGTGACAGCCGGACGCAGGGCTCACACCCCAGCTGGTGGTTGGGATTCAGTGAGGCAATAGAGGTGTCACTGGGTCTCACTCTGGCTCAGGATGATGAAGGCCCAACCCGTGGGTGTCGGCACTTGCTCCTTTCAGTCCCTCATCTCTGACCACTTGATCTCCCCTTCTGGGGTTTGTTAAGGGTCCCACAAGGGAGTGGTGGGGACGAACCCATCCCCTCACTCCTCTGTTCACTAATTAGGCCTAATTTATGATACCCCGATTTTGGTCCATTGATTTCCAATTCCATGCGCCTCTCTTCTACCAGGCATGAGCTCAACACGGCCCCAGAGCGGGATCGCACCTTATGGTTCGGTGAGCCGGGCTGCCAGCCTGGGGCTTCCGCTGACTTGGCATTACCTGGGATCCCTAGAGCACAACATCCCTGCACGCCCCCACCAGCGGCAGGCCACCAGGTCTCCTCCAGCAGTCGGGTGCCAGAGGGGAGTCCCAGAGTGATTCTCCGAGGCTGGAGCAAGGCAGCGGGTTTGGCTGAGATGCGTGTGGGACCCCGGAGAGGGGCAGGCGAGGGAGCAGGGGACAGGGCACCAATGCCTGACCCGAATGCAGTGTGTAGTGTGCACAGGGAACCAGGGCGTGTGTACACAAGCAAACTGCTGTACGAACACGCCCAACCCCTGCTCTGCCGGGCCCTGAAATCGGCTCCCCACAGCAAGCAGGGGAAGCAGACATGGAGGCTAGAGCCCAGCAGAGCCAAGGACACAAGGGGCCCATCAGATAAGGACAGACAGCTGCTGCCACGGGGCTCCTATGCTGTCATCCGGGGGGGCTGCGTTGCAGCCCGAGAGCCCCCACTGGCATTGCACCCCGCCAGGTACACAGGGGAGCTGTCCTGTGGGGACCGCAAGGCCAGAGCTCAGGGGCTCAGTCTGCGGCCAAGCCAGACGTGGGGAACACGAGGCTCTGAGCCGTGGCAGGAGGAGCCGCTGTGCCCGCAGCCCGGTGCCCCCGGGGGCAGGGGAAGGCGGCTGGCTGCCTGGCGCAGGGGATTCTGCCGGGCCTGGAGCGCGGGGCGTCCGACAGAGAAAGGCTTTGTGCTGCCAGGACAATGGAGCAACGGCCAGTGGCAGCCAGGGGGGCAGAGGGGGAAGGGGCAGCTGTGGGGGGAGCCCCGAAGGGAAGGGGGGGCCGTGCAGAGATGCCCGGCCTCGGGAGCTCTCCCACGCGGGGGGAAGCCAGGGGCAGCTGGCACAGTTGGGCAGCAGGAGGCTGAAGTGTTGTCCCCAGGGGAGAGAGCTTGTTGTAGCAACGGTGACCAGGGAGGTTTGGCCAGCGGGACATTTAAACGCAGGGCTGGCGACAGGAGCTGAGCGGCCGGGAGGAGTGAGGTGGGGACGGGCAGAGGCACACAGAGGGGGCAGAGCGGCCCCCGGCCATCGCAGCTCTAGGCAGGACAGCCGCCCCCACTGACCAGGGGCAGGGGACCAGCTACTTGTGGGCTTCTTTAATTCACTGGGGACGAGCTCCTGGGCAGCAGGGTGGTTCCTGGCCCTGGCAGCAGAGCCCACGGCCAGGATCGTCCGCGATGGCCAGCCCTGAGGGCGCCAGCCCCCACCCAGGGAACCGGGGCACCCGCCCGCCGGCGGGGCTCACCTTCTCCCCCGAGCTGGGGCCGTCAACGCTCGGCGACTTGTGCAGGAACATGGGGCATCTCAGCTGCGTGGAGAGGTACCCGCCCCCCTTTCCGGGCCTGTCTCCGCGCCCTGCCGCAGGGAAGGAGACAGGTGGGCAGGGGATGGAGGTGGGATGGCATCTCAGCTGCGTGGAGAGGTACCCGCCCCCCTTTCCGGGCCTGTCTCCGCGCCCTGCCGCAGGGAAGGAGACAGGTGGGCAGGGGATGGAGGTGGGATGGCATCTCAGCTGCGTGGAGAGGTACCCGCCCCCCTTTCCGGGCCTGTCTCCGCGCCCTGCCGCAGGGAAGGAGACAGGTGGGCAGGGGATGGAGGTGGGATGGGGTGGGGAGGGGCTGGGGTATTTGGCTTGATGTTGCTCTGCAGCGACCCCTTTTGGCCAGGTTCGGAACGGCACCGGCGGGCTCTGGCAGAGGCTGGGCCAGTCCCCCCATGTGAAGTGCACCCCAGTGGGGCGCTCAGGCAGGGCAGGTGCTGGGGGAGATCTGGGAGGGGGACATGAACCCTGCCCCCATGGCGGTGGAGGGCGTGGGATGGGCCCAGGCCTGGTAGCAGGATGAGGAGGGTGAGGGTGAGTGAAGAAGGGAACAGCGGGTGAGGAGGAGGATGGCGGGTGAGGAGGGTGGCGACGGGTGGCAGGGTGGCAGCGGGCGAGGGGGTGACGGTGGTTGGCAGGGTGATGGTGGGCGAGGAGGAGGATGGCGGGCGAGGGGGTGACGGCGGGTGAGGAGGACGGCGGGTGAGGAGGAGGATGAAGGATGGCAGGGTGACAGCGGGCGAGGGGGTGACGGCGGGTGAGGAGGGTGGCAGCGGTGGCAGGGTGATGGTGGGCGAGGAGGAGGATGGCGGGCGAGGGGGTGACGGCAGGCAAGGAGGGTGGCGGTGGTGGGAGGGTGATGGTGGGCGAGGAGGGTGATGGCGGACGGCAGGGTGGTCACAGGGTGCTCTCTCCCACAGCATCACCCCGAGGAGAAGGCTGAGGCTGTCCCCAGATGCCCTGACTCCAAGCCCTGCTGGCTCCAAGGCGCCGGCTCCCGCAGGGACACCCACACCCACAGGTCAGCACCAGCCCCTCTGCATGCCCCCCCCCAGCCAGCGGCCCCACTGACCCGCTCTCTCTGTCCCAGGTGGTGCACCGGAGCCCTCGCTCAGCCCCCAGGCCTGCAGCATCAGCATCAGCGAGGGCAGGTACCTGGAGGGGTGGGGGCAGGGAACAGGCTCCCCATAGCCCCCCCCACTGCTCCCCATAGCTCCCCCCCACACCCACTGCTCCCCAGAGCCTTCCCCACTCCCCAGAGCCCCTTCACTATTTCCCATAGCCCCCCCACCGCTCCCCAGAGTCCGCCCCATTCCCCATAACCCCCCACCGCTCCCCAGAGCCCCCCCCCACTCCCCAGAGCCCCCTCCTGCTCCCCGGAGCCCCCCCCCTCCCCAGAGCCCCCCCACCGCTCCCCAGAGCCCCCTCCTGATCCCCGGAGCCCCCCGGCACATGCAGTGCACCCCATAGCCCCCCCACCCCCCGCCCTGCCTGTGTGCCTGGAGCCGCTCTCACCCCCAGCTCTGGTTTCTCTTCTCAGCTGCAGACAGACGCCCTGGGGTTGCAGCCTGCCCCGCTCCGTGAGTACCCGGGCTGTGTCTGAGGGGCGGGGGAGGGACCGTGCAGGGCATGGGCAGAGCCTGCGGGTTGCTGTCCTATACCCCCTCCCCTGGGCTCCAGGGCACGAACACTGCCATCCTGCAGCCCCAGTACCCGCCCTGGCACTGCTGGGCACACTCTGCAGTCGGGCCTTCCACGTTGCCAGACGTGCCCCTGTGGGCTGGCCGGTGCCTGCTTGTTCCCAGCCCTGGGGGGCGGGCCCCGGGCCCCGTCAGAGCCTGCCTGGTGGGGAAGGAACCAGCCTTTGCGCCCCCCAGCTGGTTCTTCTAGCCCAGGGTGCAGAGGGACTGGGGGGGTGCCCAGGCTGTGCGTGGGGGTGGGGGCAGCGACAGGGCAGTGCTGAAGTGTGGGTGAAGCCGGCGTCGCTAGCATGGATGTATAGAGTCCTCCCGGGCACCGGGACCCAGCGCACTCCACTGACAGCTGGGCAGCTGCACGCGACCTCGGGCTAAGAACAGGGGCAGGATGGACAGGGCTGTCTGCAGGCCCGGCCCCTCTGCCCCCTTGACAGCTCCCTGCCTGGCGCCCCGCCACACGCATCCTGCCCTGTGCCCGGCCCCGCTCTGCACCCACTCTGTGCCTGGCTCCACCCTGCACCTGCTCTGTGCCTGGCCCCTCTGCCCCATGACTGCTCCCTGCCTGGCACCCCACCACATGCATCCTGCCCTGTGCCCGGCCCCGCTCTGCACCCACTCTGTGCCCGGCCCTACCCTGCACCCGCTCCATGCCCGGCCCCGCTCTGTACCCGCTCTGTGCCTGGCTCCACCCTGCACCTGCTCTGTGCCTGGCCCCTCTGCCCCATGACAGCTCCCTGCCTGGCACCCCACCACATGCATCCCGCCCTGCAGCCGCTCTCTGCCCGGCCCCGCCCTGCACCCGCTCCATGCCTGGCCCTGCTCTGTACCCGCTCTGTGCCTGGCCCTGCTCCCTGCCCGGCCCTGCCCTGCACCCGCTCCGTGCCCTGCCCTGCTCTGTACCCGCTCTGTGCCTGGCCCTGCTCCCTGCCCGGCCCTGCCCTGCACCCGCTCCGTGCCCTGCCCTGCTCTGTACCCGCTCTGTGCCTGGCCCTGCTCCCTGCCCAGCCCTGCCCTGCACCCGCTCCGCGCCCTGCCCTGCTCTGTACCCGCTCTGTGCCTGGCTCCACCCTGCACCCGCTCCACCTGCCTCCTGCTCTGAACCTGCTCCATGCCCGTCCCTGCTCGTTTTTCTTCCCCACTCGCCCCATGTCCTGGGCAGCCTTGTCATGGCTCCCTCCCTTCTGCCCTTCCCCAGAGCAAGCGGCTGCGAGGAGCCATCGAGGGGCCAGGGGAAGGAAGTGCCAGTCCTCAGGGCATGGGCGAGGTGAGTGGAGGCAGTGCTGTCTGGTCTGCCCGCGGGGATATTTGGGGAGCACGGCTGGGGTGCTTCGGGGATCAGCCCAGAGCAGGGAGGGGCTGTCACAGCCCGGCACCAGCAGCCAGCGGGCCGGGCACCGTAACTGGGCGCTCTGCCAATGGGCTGCCAGCACCCAGTTACTGTTCACAGGGTGACCCACACGCCCCGCAGTCCCGAATCGCCCTCAAACCGCCTGCCCTCGCCTGGGCCGCTCCCAGCCACTCGGACCCCTGGGCACCTCTCCCCTCCCGGGCCCCCTGTGGGAGCCTTAACAGGGGCTGGAGCTGCAGCCTGCCTGGGGAGCAGAGACCTCCGGCACTTGCAGACAGGGCCCCACCTGGCTGAGCAATGGGGCCAGCAGGGGTCGAGCGCCGAGAGACGGAGCCAGTTGCTTTGCCCGGCTTGCACGGGGGCACAGGGCAAGTCCCGTGCCAGGCTGGACAGGGGCTGGGGCAGGCATGGCCCGAGGGAAGCCAGACGGGGTGGTGCTGCTGGGGGCTGGATTTGCTTCTCTCCCCCGTCCCTGTGTCTCTGAGACCCCGGCTTCCCCTCGTCCCCTCCCCCAGGGCAGCTCTGGCCTCTCTCCTGCTCTAGCCCCTGGGACAGACGGCGAGATCCTGACCGGAGATTTTTCCAGGGTGAGTGGATCGTACCTGTCCCGTGAGCTCGCTGCCCCCCAGCCCAATTGTTCTGCAAGGTCCCATCACCCTGGGCAGTGACCGAAATCCCCGTGCCCTGCCCAGAGCCCAGGCCCTGTGCCCTGGCCTCTATCCTGGGGCCAGCGAGGCTGTCCTGCTCTCCTTAGGCAGGCTGGCCTCGCCTGCTAGCACCCCCATCCCTTCCCGCCAGGCCCCACTGGGGCGCAGACCAACCGCCCGGCCTCCCCGTCCCAGGAGGGTGCTGGCTGCCCCTCAAGGGACGTGTTTCCAACTCCCTACAGTGAACACTCCTGCCCCCGGGGCCAGTCTGCGACTAAGGTGAACGCCTCACCTCTTGGCTCCAGGGAAGGTAGGACATGTGTGCGTGTGGGGGAAGGGGACATCCCAGTCCAGGGAGGACAGAGCATGTGTGGGGGAGTTCCACTCCAGGGAGCACAGGGCATGTGTGGTGGCAGGCAGGGGCTATGTCCCCCCCAGGGACAGCAGGGATATCCCTTCAGCTCTGTTTCTGTGCCAATGCCTGTCTCTGTTGGTGACCCCAGCCCTGCTCTCTGCCAGTGGAGGATGGCCTGCACCGGGATCTGCGTTACGTCAGCCCCGCCACAGTAAGTGTGAAATGCGCCCACTGCTGGGGAACAGCACGCGCGGACCCCATGCTTGTAAAACAACTCTTATTAAGGACCGCAGCGCGGTGCGGCAGCCGCAGCTGGCATTCCAGGCATGTATACACAGACCGAGGGCTGAAGCTCATTCTGTGTTCCCCACTCCTGCCCTTGGCCCAGCCATCCGGGCGTGCTGGCTGTCCAGCTCTACTCCGCTGCTGTCTCGGTTTGCTCTCCACCGCTGTCCTGTGGCTGCTGATGGCTGGACACCACTCTGCTCCCCTACGTAGGGGACTCGGCTCCTTGGCTCCTCTGTCACAGTGGCTGCGCTGCCTGCCTAGCGTGGCATTCTCTAAACTGCTTCCCTCCTGCCCACTGTCCCTCCGCTGGGCTACCGCAGCCTGCCCTTCCGGGGATGCCGGTCCGGTTCTCTGGCTCCTTCGCTTTGCTGGGGTCCCTGGGAGTGACACTGCTGTGATCCAGCATGGCCCTTCCTGTCTGCTCGGCCTTTGCCATCGGTCCCCGGCTGCTGGCACTGCCAGGGTTCCTTCCCATTGCTTGGTGGGTGTCACGGAGTCCCTGGGCGATGCTCTGGAACTGCTCCCTACGAAGCCAGGCAGGACTCTGGGGAAGTCTCCTCTCTGGGAGCAGCCTGTCTTCAGGACACACAGCTCACCCGGCTTCCACCTTCCTGGGTCTGACCTCGGAGCATTCAGCATCCTCTGCCCCTTCGTGCGCTTCCCACAGCGAGTCCGCTCAGGCGGGGTCCTGGGGAAGCCAGAGGGTCCTGCCCCCCAACTCCACAGTCAGACGTGACTCTCAGCCAGCCACTAAAACAGAAGTTTTATTAGATGACAGGAACATGGTCTAACACAGAGCTTGTAGGTACAGAGAACAGGACCCCTCAGTCAGGTCCATCTTGGGGGCAGGGAGGCCAGACCACAGGTCTGGGCCTCCCTCTCTTTCCCCAGCCAGCTCCAAACTGAAACTCTCCAGCCCCTCATCTGGTTTGCCTCTTTCCTGGGCCAGGAGGCCACCTGATCTCTTTGTTCTCCAACCCCTTCAGTTGGCACCTTGCAGGGCAGGGCCCAGGCCATCAGTGACCAGGAAACAGGGTGTCGGCCATTCTCTGTGTCCAGACCCCTGCACACACCTGCCCTCTAGGGCTCTGCAATGATCATACACCCTTATCCCACCCCCTAGATACTTAAGAACTGCCTAGGGGAAACTGAGGCACCCCCACTCTATTCAGAGGAAACATTAAGAACAGTCCCACTTCGTCACACCACCTTTCCCCAGGGTGGGGTTAGGATTTCCTGCGGCTGCAGCCTCCTCCCGTTGTGCATCGCTGATGTATTCTTTGCGCAGCTCACACAGTTCCATGGACCGATCTCATTCGCGCTTGGCCAGCAGGTCCGCCTCCTGGCTGGGCTCAGGCAGGCCGCTCTCCCCAGGTCTTACAACGTCAGCTCCTAAATCTGCTAGGATTACTGCCCGGTCCCCTTTAAACAACCTCCGTCTTCTGCCCCCAGCTCATCCCTGCCCTGGCAGTCCGGGGAGCCTGCACCTTGCGGCCTGGCCAGCCCTGGAGCCTGAATCGTTTCACGGCCCCCAGCCTGGCTGGGCTGCCGGGAGCCCCCATGGGAGAGGGGAAGGGGTTGCTGTGGAAAGACTGTCCCACAGAGCACCTGTGTTACCTCTGCCTGCTCTGCACGCCTGCCGCCAGCCCCTCGCCCTCGCGTCCGAGCGCTGGCATCTCGAGAACGCGGCGTGTGCTCAGTCTGCGTGTGCCGCTGGTGATCAAACCGCTGGAACCAGGCGCCCCTCTCCTATCTGAGCACATCCCCTGCCTGTGGCCGGCAGGGCGTGGCACCAGGGCTGCCCCAGCCCGCCTCCTGAGCCCTCCCTTGCAGCTCCGGTGGCTCGGCAGGGCTGTGCTTGTCATTGCGGTCTCGGTCTCGGCCCAGGCCCACGCGGCAGCGCTATGTCAGTGTCTGCAGGGCGCGGGCGTCGGACGGGCAGGAGCAGAATCTGCACAGGCAGCTGCCTGTTCCTCCGCAGCGCTGGACTCCTTCTGCAGCCTCTGCCCACACATTTTCTTGCTGGCTCAGTTTTGCCGGGGCTGGCTGGAGTCCCTCAGAGATGAGCAGGTCTCCGGTGCAGGGCACCTCACTTCCCCTCGGCTCGCCTGAATTTCCACGCCCCCTGCACTGCGGCCCAGAGCTGGGCACTTTTCCTTCTGCCTTTCACTGGACCAGGATGCCAGCACTGTCAGTCCATCTGTGTCCCTCAGTCCTGCCTCCTGGGTTCCTTCAGCCTGAGCCCGTCTGTGTCCTGCACTCGTGCCTGTCGTTGTCTGTCATCGTGCCTGGGCTGTTCCACTGGCCTTGCTCTTTGGAGGCATTTCTCTAGGGCAAGAGCCCTTTCCCTGTGCTCTGGGATCATGAGTCCCACTAACGATCCTCTCGCTGATGAGGGAACCTGTTACGTCTTCACAGCTCCACGCACATGCCCGAGCTCTCAGCTCCCTGCAGCAAGAGCACGGCTCCGGCTCCCTCCCCCGGCTCATTCTGTTCGGGGCCTCAGGACCCAAACGCCTCGATCCGGCATTCCAGGAACTCACGCGCCTCGCCTCCTTCCCCCCTCTGGCCAGTTCTCCATACAGACTAGACTCATTTCTGACATCGTCCGCTGCCATGCCTGGGTGGAGGGTTTTGTGGGCAATTCAGCTCTCTCTGCGCTCTGCGTCCTTCGAGCTGCCTGTTCGCTCTGCTGCTAGCTGCTGCATCGTGGGCCTGTTCATCGTCCTGGTCCGTGCTGTGTGTCTCACGAGACTGACGCTGCCAAACCATGTGCTGGGGAGTGACAGGAAAGGACTAAACCTAAAGCGGCTCCATTATTTGCAGAGGAGCTGCCCCGGCAGCCAGCATTCCAGCCATGTGCCCACAGACTGACTGCCTGGTGCCTCCCCCATCTCTCACCCCAGTCAGGAACTTCACAGGGTGAGGGAAACAGCACCAGCCCTAATGCTGCTCTGTGCCCAGGCCCCCTCCTGCCTGCCTCCCTGCCACACCCAGAAAGACACAGCACGAAGCCACACGCCTGAGGGGCGGCAGTGGAGCCCGAGGGGAGCCGGCTCAAACAGAGCAGGCTGTGGGCGGGGACGGTGGTGCACTGGCGGAGCTGGAGGGTGCAGGGGGTGCAGGTCAGGATTGGGGGCATCAGACCAGCTATGTGTGGGGACCTTATGCCCCAGTGGAAACATTGACTCACGGCTGGAGCGTCCCCACATGGACGGCTGGCTCTCCTCATCTAGCCCCCCTGCACGGCCGGGCATGGCGCGATTCTCCTCATCTTGCGCCCCTTGCATGGCCAGGCACGGCACAGCCAGGTCTCCTCATCTAGCCCCCTGCACAGCCGGGCACGGCACGGCACGGCTCTTCTCATCTAGCCCCCTGCACAGCCGGACACGGCATGGCCAGGTCTCCTCATCTAGCCCCCGCATGGCCGGCTCTCCTCATCTAGCCCCCGCTCGGCCGGCTCTCCTCGTCTAGCCCCCGCTCGGCCGGCTCTCCTCGTCTAGCCCCCGCTGGCCGGCTCTCCTCGTCTAGCCCCTGCTCGGCCGGCTCTCCTCGTCTAGCCCCCGCTCGACCGGCTCTCCTCGTCTAGCCCCCGCTCGGCCGGCTCTCCTCGTCTAGCCCCGCTCGGCCGGCTCTCCTCGTCTAGCCCCCGCTCGGCCGGCTCTCCACGTCTCCTCATCCAGCCCCCCTGCTTCAGTCCAGCAGCTCTGCTTCTTCTCCTGACTCAGCCCTCTGGCCAGATCACGCTCAGTCCCATGACGGTGCGCTGACGTCACTCACTCAGGGTGAACTGCAAACAGTCCGGGGCAGAGAAACCCCACATGCTGGTGAATATTCCAATAGTTAGATTTACCCAGCCAGCCCAAACCAGCTTCTGTATCTCCCCCCTGAGTACTCAGACGTCCACACGACGCAGTGCCCTTAAAGTGCCAGCCTCAGGCCCCCCTCCAGACACACCTGTCAGACATAGGATGGTAAATTCTGAAAATCTTATCTCATCCTATAAAAGAAAAGGTTCAAGGTTCGCCTGACCTCAAAGGACCAAGCCCCAGACCCAGGTCAAATAATAACTTAGATCGTACCCAAAATACATGCTTACAGTCCATTCTTATTAACTAAACTAACATTTATTTAAAAAGAAAAGAGAAAGTGTTGGTTAAAAGATCAATATACAGACAGACTTGAATTCAATTCTTGAGGTCCAGGTACATGGCAGAGATGGTGAGTGTGTAGTGGCCAAAAGTCCTTTCAGAAATAGTCCACAGGTTACAGTCCAATGTCCATCTTCAGGGTGACTGTCACGGAGTCCCTGGGCGATGCTCTGGAACTGCTCCCCATGAAGCCAGTCAGGACTCTGGGGCAGTCGCCTTTCTGTGAGCAGCCTGTCTTCAGGACACGCAGCTCACACAGCTTCCACCTTCCTGGGTCTGACCTCGGAGCCTTCAGCATCCTCTGCCCCTCCGTGCGCTTCCCCCCAGCGAGTCCGCTCAGGCGGGGCTCCTGGGGAAGCCAGAGGGTCCTGCACCCCAACTCCGCAGTCAGACGTGACTCTCAGCCAGACAGTAAAACAGAGGTTTATTAGACGTCAGGGACATGGTCTAAAACAGAGCTTGTAGGTACAGAGAACGGGACCCCTCAGCTGGGTCCATTTTGGGGGCAGTGAGCAAGACAACGTCTGCCCTTCACTCCATGTCCCAGCCAGCCCCAAACTGAAACTCCCTCCAGCCCCTCCTCCCCTGGGCTTTGTCCCTTTCCCGGGCCAGGAGGTCACCTGATTCCTTTGTTCTCCAACCCTTTAGCTCTCACCTTGCAGGGGGGAAGGGCCCAGGCCATCAGTTGCCAGGAAACAGGGTGTTGGCCATTGTCTCTGTCCAGACCCCTGCACACACCTGCCCTCTAGGGCTCTGCAATGATCATACACCCTTACCCCACCCCCTAGATACTTAAGAACTGCATAGGGGAAACTGAGGCACCCCCCCACACTATTCAGAGGAAACATTAAGAACAGTCCCACTTCGTCACAGTGACTCCAGTCAGCGACTGGGGATCTCAATCCTCATGGCTTAGGGTTTCCCCTTCTTGAAACCCAAAGCAGATCTGAGATGAGGAAGGATCATGTCCCAGGGTTTTTATACATTTCCAGTAGCCTCTTGGCCTGAGAAAACAATAGGCTTAACTTTCCTTCTCCCAAACACCATGGCAATTAGCACAGGGTCATTTATCCATTAAACAGTTCAGACACAGGTTACCACAACCTTCAAAGAGGCATATAAACAACAATACTATGTCATTCAAGTGTCTTCCTAAATGTTAATCCTCCTTTTTTGGTCTTTGAATCAAAGCCATAGCCAAGCCTCGTTTGCTGACATCACAAGCCCTGAGCACACAGCTCCCCTTCTCTCTCTCACCATGCCGGCTGCATTTCACAGCTCTCTCCATTTCCATCTCTTCCTAACCAGGCTTTAAAGTTCGGGGGCCCGGGGTCAGGTCAGTCTGGGAGTTCATTAACTCTTTCTGGCCCTGTCACCTTTCAATGAGATATTATATTACACTCATAACGTCATAGTCCCCCCTTTCTGGGGAACAACGTCCAACAACTGTCTGGTCTCCCGCCCCCGGCCTGGGCCCATAACCCCAGGGCTCCCACCAGTCCACATCCCCTTCTTGGGGGCTTCTCGCCACCTTCCCCAGAGCAGGGAAGGGAAGGACCTGCAGTCCAGGGTCACTCCACCAGACTCCCAGCTGCTGCCTGTGTGGTCTTTGCATTACCACAGACAGGAGCCAGTTCACACCGCACCTGAGGTCTGCCCTCCTCGGTTCCCCTTGCCCTGTTCCTCCACTGAACCCTCCCAGCGCTGTCGCTTTGCAAGGCCTGATCCTGCCCTTTTATCAGGGCTCCCCACCCAAGGGGCTGCTCTGGGTCTCCCCTGGCCTCCTGCCAGATACTTCTCTACTCAGGCGAGGGTCCCAGGGCAGCTCTGCCCTAGGGCTTCCTCCCTGATCCTCCTCAACTCTCCAGCCTCGCCCTGCAAGGGACTGCAGAGTGCCTCTGTCCTTTCGCTCCTGGTCTGCTGACCCCCCGCTGGGAGGTACCCCTCACTGGGCCTGGGCCAGGCTCCAGGGGTTAACTGGCCTCTCCTGCTCCAGTTAACTCTTTCAGAGCCAGGATGGAGTACACCCCATTGCACCCCGTCCATGCGACTCCTGACTCGCTGGTGCTGGGGACTCTGCACCCTCTTGAGCAGCACGCTGGCCAGCGTGAACTCCCATAACATGGGCCCAACGCCTGAAGCAAGAGGCCCTGGCAGGTAGGGGGAGGACGAGCCCAGAGCTGCCATGACACAGCCTCTCGGGAGCTCATCCCCCTCCCCATTTTACACCCCCCCAGGTGGCTTCCCTGCTGCGCGGCCAGTTGGCTGGGGTGGTGGAGGAGTACGTGGTGGTGGACTGTCGCTATCCCTACGAATACGCTGGGGGACACATCAAGGTAAGAGAGCCCGGTTCAACCTGTCCTGCTCCCAGCAACTTCCCGCAGGCACCGGGCTGCCTGCTATGCAGAGAGTGAGCTCCTGGCTACACGACTTCAAAGGGTGCTACAGAGAGCGGGGCAGGAGCTGGCAGTGGGGGAGCTCCCGGCTATTCCAGTCCTGCCCCCTCCCAGCAGGGGGTGCTGTGGGGAGCGGGGCAGGAGCTGGCTGTGTGGGGAGCTCTCAGGAGGGGACACTGTGGGGAGCAGGGTGGGGTGCTGGCTCTGGGGATTTTGAAATTATTAAAATCCTATGAGCATCATGCAGGATCCTGGGCTGCCCAGTGGCTTTGCATGGGGAGAAGGGGGGCAGGGTGCTTGGCACTTTGCCAGCTCCCAGTCGACCCCCATCTATGGGATGCTCCCCCAGCCCTGAAGGTGGGGAAGGAGCACTGAGCCCTGGTCCAGCCTGTGCTGCCTGCTGCCCCCCCCACCCCCGCCGCACCCCTCTGACCTCCTTGCTCTCGCACAGGGTGCCCTGAATCTGTACCGAGAAGAGCAGGTGGCAAGGTGGTTCCTGCCGGATCCCTTGGGCACGACCCCGAGCCCCCGCAGCAGCACCCTGATCTTCCACTGCGAGTTCTCCTCTGAAGAGAGGCCCCCGCTTGTAGGTGCCTTGGGGGCCCGCCAGGCTCCCCCCACTCCCTCCCTGCTCGTCCCCCACCCAGGTCTCTGTGATAGGGAGGAGCCGCCGAGTTGGGGACACTGGGACGCCTACCCGGCCGAGATCAAGATGGCTCCCATCCCAGCAATGCTGCCCAGCCGGGGGCACCTCGCTGCTCCACTCGCAAGGCAGCCATGGCTGGGGGGCAGCAGGGGCAGCCTGAGGTTGCTGGTGCCCCCCACGGCTCTGTGTCCTCTCAGGGCGAGGCCCATGCCTGGCTCTGGTGGCTGGGGCCAGCCAGTCTTGCTGGCTTCACGCTCCATTAACCCCACAGTGCCCCCCACAGCTGCCCTCTGCCACAATTCCTGTGCCCATGACCCCTCCTGCCCGCAAAAGCTCACTTCAGCCAATCAGACTCACCCACCTCTGCCCCATCCTGTGGTCCCAGGGGGGTCCCTAGAGTGACAATGGGGAGGGTGGTCACTGGTGAAATCCCTCTATCGTGGGGCAGGTGCCGCAGCCTGAGGAGAATGGACCGAGACGCCAACCGGTACCCGGAGCTCTGGTACCCAGAGCTGTACGTGCTGCGTGGTGGCTACAAGGAGTTTTACCAACACTTCCAGGTACCTAGGGGGCTGTTGCAGGGGTGGGGATGGCATAGCCTAGAACAGAACCCAGGAGTCCTGACTCCCAGCCTCTTGTTCTAATCACGAGACACCACTCCCCTCCCAGAGCCGGGGAGAGAACCCAGGAGTCCTGGCTCCCAGGCCCATGCTCTAATCACGAGACACCACTCCCCTCCCAGAGCTGGGGAGAGAACCCAGGAGTCCTGGTGTCACAGAGTCCCCTGGTGATGCTCTGGAACTGCTCCCCATGAAGCCAGTCAGGACTCTGGGGAAGTCTCCTCTCTGTGAGCAGCCTGTCTGCAGGACACACAGCTCACACAGCTTCCACCTTCCTGGGTCTGACCTCGGAGCCTTCAGCATCCTCTGCCCCTCCGTGCGCTTCCCACAGCGAGTCCGCCTAGGCGGGGTCCTGGGGAAGCCAGAGGGTCCTGCCCCCCAATTCCGCAGTCAGACGTGACTCTCAGCCAGCCAGTAACACAGAAGGTTTATTAGATGACAGGAACATGGTCTAACACAGAGCTTGTAGGTACAGAGAATGGGACCCCTCAGCTGGGTCCATTTTGGGGGGCAGTGAGCCAGACAACCCCGTCTGCCCTTCACTCCATGTCTCCAGCCAGCCCCAAACTGACTCACCCTCCAGATCCTCCTCCTCTGGGCCTTGTCCCTTTCCTGGGCCAGGAGGTCACCGGATTCCTTTGTTCTCCAACCCTTTAGCTCTCACCTTGCAGGGGTGAAGGGCCCAGGCCATCAGTTGCCAGGAAACAGGGTGTCGGCCATTCTCTGTGTCCAGACCCCTGCACACACCTGCCCTCTACGGCTCTGCAATGATCATACACCCTTACCCCACCACTGAGATACTTAAGAACTGCCTAGGGGAAACTAAGGCACCCCCACACTATTCAGAGAAAACATTAAGAACAGTCCCACTTCATCATACCTGGCTCCCAGCCTCCTGCTCTAATCACGAGACACCACTCCCCTCCCAGAGCCGAGGAGAGAACCCAGGAGTCCTGACTCCCAGCCCCCTGCTCTAACCACTAGACTCCATTTCCCTCCCGATGGGAAGTGTCACATGCTCTCTCTCTCGCTCTAGGATCTCTGCGAGCCCCAGGGCTACATCCACATGCGGCACAAGGACTTCCGAGCCGAGCTTAGGAACTACCAGCGGAGGAAACAGCCTTGGAGCCTGCGCAGGATCCGCAAAGAGCTTTTCAAGCCCCTGTCCCCAGGGACTCCCTTGCAATAGCAACCCAGAGCCCATCCCTGACTCACAGCGAGGGACCCACTAGCCCCACCCCTCGCTTCTGAAATAGAGCTGTCCCTTTCCTGTTTGGCAAGTCAGACCTTCCCTGGCTGGCTGCCTCTGGAGCTCCAGCAATCCCAGCTGTAATTTAAGACTCTAGCCCAGGGGTTCTCAAACTGGGGGTCGGGACGCCTCAGTGGGTCGCAAGGTTATTACGGGGGGATCATGAGCTGCCAGCCTCCACCCCAAACCCCACTAAGCCTCCAGCATTCATAATGGTGTTAAATATATAAAAAAGTGTTTTTAATTTAGAAGGGGGGTCGCACTCAGAGGCTTGCTGTGTGAAAGGGGTCACCAGTACAAAAGTTTGAGAACCACTGCTCTAGCCCTTATGGTTGCAAAGAAAACCTTCAAAATATGGCTCTGTGTGTGAAGCTGATGCCGTGACGTCTTCCTGAGTCTGCAGGCAGCCTGACATGATAGCTCTGTGAGGTTGAACTGCCCCATTCAGCTCGTTGGATGTTGACTTGATGTCAGCATTGTTCACTTTCTCATTTCGGACCTGGAGACACAGGGCAGAGGAGGGGCATCATTTCATGGAGACCTGCGCAATTTGCTTTTATGGGTGTCACATTTTAGTGCCTCAAAAGGGTGGAGTTAGTTCTGTGGGTGGAGCTTGGGTGCATCTCACTACTTCCCCCCCAACTCACCTCTGCCCCTCCCCCAGGGCAGTGATTGACAGGAGCTTCCCCCTAGGGCTGCCCTCAGCCCCTCCCCTCCTCTCACTCCCCCTTCTTGCCAGGCAAATACAAGAAAAGGGCAGCAGCATGAGTCCTCAGACCTGCACTGATGCAGCTGCAGCTTTAAGGCCTGGCTCTTTGTGGCCACTTCGGTCTCCTCTTGTTCCCTCCTCGAGTTTTCCTGCCATTTCCTTTTTACTCTCGCCTCCCTCCCCGCTCCTGCTGAGCCACGCCTGGGAACTCACGCCTCACCAATCTGCTAGAATTCTCTGAGGGGGTCGACCAGTGTGTGGACCAGGGGGATCCAGTGGACACAGTGTACTTAGATTGTCAGAAAGCCTTTGACAAGCTCCCTCACCAAAAGCTCTTAAGCAAAGTCAGCTGTCATGGGATAGGAGGGAAGGTCCCTTTCATGGATCAGTGACTGGTTAAAAGATAGGAAACAAAGGGTAGGAATAAATGGTCAGTTTTCAGAATGGAGAGAGGTGTCCCCCAGGGTCTGTACTGGGCCCAGTCCTAGTCAACATATTCATAAATGATCTGGAAAAAGGGGTAAACAGTGAGGCGGCAAAATTTGCAGATGATACAAAACTACTCAAGACAGTTAAGTTCCAGGTGGACTGTAAAGAGCTACAAAAAGATCTCACAAAATTGGGTGACTGGGCAACAAAACGGCAGATGAAATTCAATGTTGATAAATGCACATTGGAAAACATAATCCTACCTGTACAAATACAATGATGGGGTCTAAATTAGCTGGTACCACTCAAGAAAGAGATCTTGGAGTTACTGTGGATAGTTCTCTGAAAACATCCACTCAGTGTGCAGCGGCCGTCAAAAAAGTGACCAGAATGTTGGTGATCATTAAGAAAGGGATAGATAATAAGACAGAAACTATCACATTACCTCTGTATAAATCCATGGTACGCCCGCACCCTGAATACTGCGTGCAGATGTGGTCGTCCCATCTCAAAAAAGATGTATTGGACTTGGAAAAGGTTCGGAAAAGGGCAACAAAAATGAGAAGGGTCTGGAACGGCTTCCGTATGAGGAGAGATTAATAAGACTGGGACTGTTCAGCTTGGAAAAGAGACGACAAAAGTGGGAATATGCTTGAATATTCCCTATATGCTCTATAAAATCATGACCGGTGTGGAGAAAGTAAATAAGGAAGTGTGATTTACTCCTTCTCATAACACAAAAAACAGGGTGTAATGATGCTGGTTCTCTTGGGACCCAACAGAGCATCAGTTCAGGACAAACCAAACCAGCCAGACAAAGAGGACTTTGGTTTTATCCCACTTGGTAAGCACAAGTCACACAAGCAATTCCATTACCACCAGTGCCCCTCGTTATGGGGACAGATGGTTATGAAAACTAATGCCCTATGTGACGTTATTGACATAATCTGGGACCGTGTAGATCATCGTTGCAACCAAGGTCTTGTAGTGGCACCAAATCTTATATAAAGGGGGTCAAATGAGGTGTCTCAGACAAGGTGATGGTTTGCTGGTTATGATTATGCTGTCTATATGTGTGTATCATTTTGTAGTTGAAGTTATGAATATTGGCTCTGTACTGTCTGTAGTTCAAACTTATGCTCTGCTTCTGGGGGACACCCCAGACAATTTGGGGTCAGCTCTGCCTAGCCAGCTGGATGGCTCATTAAGGACCATCAGCTACACAACTGACCCATTGAGAGAAGGCAGACACGCCTTGCGACTCAGCAAGGTGTGCAGGGACCTGCCTATGGACAGAACTCTGAGGTGTTTCCAGGCCGTGTGATGGACAGCTTGTCCTTGGGACAAAGAAAGCAGAGACCACATGGCAAGAGACTATAAAAACCTGCTGCAGCTCCTCCATCTTGTCTTCAATCCTGCTTCTGACCTCTGGAGGGACTTTGCTACACTGAAGCTCTGAACCAAGGACTGAAAGACCCACCCCAGCTGGGGATGTTCTCCAGAGACTTGATTTGAACCTGCAGCTTATTCCATCACTGCTGCAAGCCTGAACCAAGAACTTTGCCATCACTGTATGTCATTGATTCCATTTAACCAATTCTTGCTCTCATCTCTATCTTTTTCCTTTTATGAATAAACCGTTAGATTTTAGATTCTAAAGGATGGGTAACAGCGTGATTGGTGGGTAAGATCTGATTTGTATATTGACCTGGGTCTGGGGCTTGGACCTTTGGGATCGAGAGAACCTTTTTTCTTTTACTGGGGTATTGGTTTTCATAACCATCTGTCCCCATAACGAGTGGCACTGGTGGAGATACTGGGAAACTGGAGTGTCTAAGGGAATTGCTTGTGTGACTTGCGGTTAGCCAGTGCGGTAAAACCAAAGTCTTCTCTGTTTGGCTGGTTTGGTTTGCCTTAGAGGTGGAAAAACCCCAGCCCTGGGCTGTAACTGCCCTGCTTTAAGCAATTTGTCCTGAATCGGCACTCTCAGTTGGGTCCCTCCAGAACCAGCATCGTTACAGTGGCGTTGTCATCCTCTGTGAGTTTACCATAAGAGTGCCTTTAGCCAGCATCCACCTTGAATGGGATGGTACTAAGCATGAAGTTATAGTTGGTGTAAGGAAGTTACTGCCTAAGGATCTTTTGATTGGGGAAAATATATTAAAGCTTTGTTCAGTCCAGGTAAACAGTCACAGGAAAGGAACAATCTTAAACCTGTGTCTATTATGGGCAATGATTTGCCTGGGGAGGGTTTCTCCAAAGGTTTGTCTAAGGAAAAGAGCTGTCTGTAAATGAAGTTTCTGAATGTCTCTCTAATGTGTCAGAAGTGAATCTGGAGTTAGATAAAGAGCAGAAAGAACTCGTTGGTCAGGAAAATGTTTCTCAAGAGCAGATTAAAGTGGATGATCAGGTGGAAGCCCTAACTGAGGAAGGAAAGGGTGGATTTTTGATGGGTGATGGATTGTTGGCTAGTACAGCTTGTAAAAGTGAACTGCAATTTGCTGGAAGTAGCTCAGGGTAGTGAGAAGAGCAGCAGTTTATCTGTGGGGAGGGGCAAGGTGCTTGGTAAGGAAAGTTTGGATGAGCCTAGGCAGCCTTGTGAGCTGATGGCTGTGTCTAGTCAGCAGTGAGGGAAGGCGAGGAGAGTGGAAGATGAGTCTCCCTGGACCTTACCTGTTAGCTGGGTGGAGAATTGGGACAGTGAAGGAAATGGGTCTCTGTCTGTCAGGGGTATTGACTTGCCTATGGAGGGAGCTACCCCGGTCTCCAAGCAGTTGTCTGTGACCAGCCTTGTGTGCTGGGACAAGGGGAATGAGATCCCAAGCTGTGTGTCTGGGAAAGGAGAAAGTGTGTCCGGCTCTTCTTGGTCTGTGGAGCAGACAGAAGGGGCCTTTCAGCCTGTGACGGTTGAGAATAGTGCAGTTGTCTCAGAGTTGGTTCTGGATTCAGCTAAAGCCCAGGAAGGGAATGGTCCTAAGTTTGGGTCTGCTCGGGAGAATGGCCCTGTAACTAGGTCGCTTCCAGTCAGTGTCTATGTAAAATCCCAGAGACCAGACAATTCGGGTGCTTGTATTTTGCCTGTTGCTAGTGTGTTGGGAAAGGCTGTAGCAACTCTGTCTAATCCGGGTGAGATCCTAGCCGGGGCACAAGGAGAGCATGAAGGTGATGTGATTGTGTTACCTACTGATGGTGTGGAAACTGGTAGCAAGAAGGAAAAGATTCCTGAGCTTGTGTGTGGCAAAGGGAAGGAGAATGCTTCTGACTTTTTATCTAGGAAGTCTGTAAGTTTGCCTGAAAGGGGATTGTGTAGGAATCCGCTGGATGGGCCAGAGGTGATTCTGGGTGTAAGGGAGACCCAGAAAGAGTCTGTTGTTGCTCAGGAAAGTGTTCCTCTAGAGCAAGCCCTCGGTAAAGAGGGTAAGAGCAGAATTTCTGTGAGGGGTGAATTGTTGCATAGAAAAGCCCTAGGGAAAGGAATCCTCATGGAGTCTTTGCAAGCAGTTTACTGCAACTGGAGGGTGTGAAAGTGATTTAATCAAGAAAGTTTCAGTTCCTAACAGCAGAAATGTTCTGTTGTGAATGGTTTCAGAGTAGCAGCCGTGTTAGTCTGTATTCGCAAAAAGAAAAGGAGTACTTTTATGTCTAAAATTATGTACAAATTTATGTTAGTCTCTAATGTGCCACAAGTACTCCTTGTGTGACTTGTGGTTAGCCAGTGGGGTGAGACCAAAGTCTGCTCTCACCTGTTTGGCAGGTTTGGTTTGCCTTAGAGGTGGAAAAACCCCAGCCCTGGGCTGTAACTGCCCAGCTTTAAGCAATTTGTCCTGAATCGGCACTCTCAGTTGGGTCCTGCCAGAACCAGCATCATTACACCCTGGTAAAAGAAAAAAGGTTCTCTCGATCCCAAAGGACCAAGCCCCAGACCCAGGTCAATATACAAATCAGATCTTACCCACAAATCACGCTGTTGCCAGTCCTTTCGAATCTAAAATCTAAAGGTTTATTCATGAAAGGAAATAAATATAGATGAGAGCTAGAAGTGGTGAAATGGAATCAGTGACAGACAATAATGACAAAGTTCTTGGTTCAGGCTTTTAGCAGTGATGGAATAAGCTGCAGGTTCAAATCAGGTCTCTGGAGAACATCCCCAGCTGGGATGGGTCTTTCAGTTATTTGTTTAGAGCTTCCGTTTGTAGCAAAGTCCCTCCAGAGCTCAG